TTGGACTTTCACTTGACTGCTAACTGTTGGCTTTTTTATGGTTATGAATATCGGCAAATTCTCCCCTCACTAAAAGCTGAGGCGCCTAAAAAGTAGAAACTTTTCTGAGCAAAGTCAAGTTTCACTTTCGACAGAGCAATGGTGGTCCCGCTGTTCCTCGTATTAAAATCATGGGTTAAAAAATTAAAATAATTTTAAATAAATAAGCCTTTTTCTTTAGAAAAATTTCAATTGTGGATAGGCGGAGTTCACAGTTTAGACATTTGGAGTTTTGCATTTGGAGTTTCTTATTTGGCATCTACGTGTCTCTGACCAACCAAGCATAATTTGGCCGCAGTGAGTGAAAATGAAAATGAAAATGATTTAAGTGGCCATCAAATAACAACAAGTTCAAAAGACTTCACAAAACAAAAGAAGGTAATGGACTGGTTGAAAAGTATTAAGTGGACGGGTTGGGGCAGAGCAGAGATAAGGTGAGTCATCAGTTTTTGAGCCCTTGGCTAGGGATGGGTCGTTCGGTTTTCATCTACCATTTGGTGGGTGGGTAATCCTGTTTTTATGACAGGAATTGGCACACACTTGACACAATCGACAACAGAGGTAACTCTTTCCAGTTCCAAAGGACGAAAACTTTTCGAGCCATGGCTGAAAAAGTACATTTGGCTGGTGTACAATAGAGAAGGCATTTGATGTCTTGTCAAATCTTACGAAAGCTAAAAAGTCTAACGCAATGAACAAGTAGTCCAAGGGCAGAAAGCTGGCAAATGGCAAAATACTGCGCTCTTTCCACATGCTGGTCTTCAAGAACACCAAATGGCCAACTTGTGTCTACATCCTACTTGTCCCCAAGAGTACGGGACACATGTTCATAGATCTGGGACTCGCACGCTTGGGCTTGGGCCTCGTAGTTGACTGGTTGTGTGAGTCCCAGGACTCACTACAGCCTTTTTCTAGATGGTCAACTGTTCCACGCAAAGATTAGGGTCAAGTCTTTTTAGAGTTTACAGACATGAGTTAAAGTTGCAAGAGTAAGAGTGATTTTGTTTTATAGTTAAGGAATAAATCTAAAACATAAATAATACGAGAAGTTCATACACAAAATGTGATTTTGTTGGATAACGCAACCAAAAATACCATGTTTTATAGAGGGTTGGTCATGTAATTTTCAATCTTCATTTAGGGGTGGGTCACTCACTTTTGTGCCAAATGGTAGGGGTGGGTCATGTGTTTTCTAACTAACATATGTTCAAATGCGCCCGCTTGCAACTGTTTGCTTGTCTGTTTTGTTTTGCTTAGAATTTGGCCGTCAGGCGCGTGAAAAATGA